GGGGAAAACATGTCACTCTTTATTGATATCGCCTACAAAATCATTTTTAAAAAGTAAAAGCGGTTAACACGACATAAAATATCCAGGCTTATCTGCACTATGCTTTGGGATCAGCGGCTAATCTGGGGCAGCGGTGAACAGAACTGTGTTTCATATTATGTTGTCTTAGAATGGGCTCCAGGCTGTTCGGTGTTGTGGTTCTCACTCACATTTTACAGTATTTTCCTATAATTATCTATGAGGGAATAACACCCAAAAGTCAAAGAAAGTCACTAAAGACTAGAACACTTTCCAGAAAATGCTAATCCTGCAAATTGTCTTTGAACAGAAACAGAATTTCTGGATATGATCATTGTAATCTGTGATGATTACACAGCACAAGCCTCTAAACTCAACCTCTACTCCTCGTTAATGTGGCTACATTACACCACCAACTGGTTCACACAAATCACTGCAATCCCTCTCGTAGCTCACAAACATCCTTCTTAGCCAAACGTGCACACTAGCCTTTTGACTGCCACCAGATTAGTTAGGTCAGGCCCAAAGCCACAGACATGGAGTCAGTCCAAGGCCCCTGGACAGGAAGGGATGTAGGCCAGCTTCTCTTGAAGATTCATGCAGCATTACAGCACATATAAGAAACACTGCTGCACTGGACACTGTTTTTACTCAGTCTCAGTAACCCACAATCAATGGGCACTATGTTCACTCAGCTTATACACAGCTAGGTTAGGCTTTGGCTCTCTTTAGTGTTACAATGAGGTACAAACTGTGAATGACTGTTAGTGGTCTGCTACACTGGTCACACTGCCTGTGGTAGCTCTAACTAATCCTTCAGTACATTCGATAAAATTATCTAGAGATTAGATAGGTGTCTACAAGATCTAAAAGATTCTCGTAATCTCCAAGAATATAGTACCTGCACGTTTATTTGCAGCAATACTCTATATTGTGCTGCTGTCAGTATATTACTGCAAATTTACAGTGAAAGGTTTCACTATGCAAACACCTTCAACAACAACACAGTGGAAAGATCTATTTTGTAAACATTTGTAGCTTCAGAAGTTGCAACACTGAGTAATCTGGAACTCGGGTCTCTAGAGGGTCTGCCTTCATTTCCAGGAACTAAAACATGTAACATCTGCCAAAGCTTACAGTCAGCATCGCTTAGTGGTTCGAATTTAACTCATCATCTTTAGCCATTAGTTTACCGTTTTAGTCTATTAACCCTTTTACCCTAGGTTTGTGAGCTGTCAGACAAGAAACGGAGAGCTGCAGAATATCCTGAGTGACTGCACTTACCCTGGGCCCCTTCTCTCCGGCTGGACCTGTTGGACCTGGTGGTCCCCGGTCACCCTGGAGGAAAAGGAAGAGTTGATCATTAAACCATGACCTAAAACCTCAACACACATTCGCATACAATTCTACTTAATAAAAGCCATGAAAGTGGAGAGGAGCTTCTTTAAGTGTAGAAGGTAAATGCAATGTGATGTACAAATAGCAGATACTAATATATATACTGTCTTTGGTCCTCTGCACAGTATAATAAAAGCCAAAGGTAAGCCCAGCTGATCAGTAAAGCTTCCAAGGGCTTTTTTTTTTAACAATAACTTGTTATTCCACCTTGTCTCACACAGGGATCAGACTATTCGTATGGAACTGTTTTGGAAATACTTAGGGCAGTATTAAACAAATATTATCCATATATCTATAATGTGAATAGAATTTTTAGGCTGTCAGGGTACGGCTGGTGCTGACAGATTGAACCGGGAGGAGGATTTTTGTGTAAGAGGAGTAGGAGGACAAGCAAGAATCTGACAAGCAGATGGCTTCCCACCACAAGAACATGTTCTGACAAACGGGCCTTCTGGATAGGAAGGAAAAGGGGCTGCAGGTTGAGATAGAGGGAGGGAACAATGACTGTACAGAGATTAAAAAGGTGTGTAATGCTGTGCACGTTTACTCGGCATAAGCTGAGGTGGAAAAAGAACTTTAAAAAAAAAGCACTGTGTCAGAAACAATTACATTTTGAGAGTTTCTAACATCCGTAGACAAGCAAATTTGTCTAAAGAGTATCGTAATCAAATGTTCCCTTTCATTATAGCTTGACGTTCAGCAGAGTGCAGGAGGGTTTAAAGGCAATAGTGGTGATGTGGATTTGACAATATTGTTATGGATGAGGATGTGAGAGTGTTGAGTGTTTATACAAGCACGTGTTCTGGGGCTCGTGGGCCTCAAGCCACGGCTGCTTAACATAGGCCTAATTATATAGGTCTGCCACTGACAGGCAGGCAGCTCATGCTGTCTGACAGCCTAATGACAGAGAAACACACACCTTACCTTTTCACCAGGAACCCCTATCACCCCAGCTATCCCAATCAGGCCTGCTGGACCCTGGAGAGGAGAGGGATAGCGTTAAACAGAAACACATCACGAGAGGTTATATCTGCGCAAAAACCCCAATCTTCATTCATCTAAGGGTTACTTCCCGACTAGTCATGACACCTGGAATGTGAGAGGTCATAGATTACAATCAAATGCTTACATAAGCAAAAATGTAGGCACTGCAAAGATGAAGAGAAACCTGAAGGGGTGAAGATCATTTTTTACTATCTCGACTTTCACGAGTTTTTCCTAGAAATAGTGCTTAACTAAAAACACTGAGAGAAACAAAGGAAAAGTAAACACATCAATATGTGCCAGTAACCACGCTATAACAATATTAATTCCAAATCCACTGCACAACCCATGTGGTATTGATACTGGGCTGTTATTCAACAAAGCCAGAACAAATGGCTGCAACCTTGTTGTGACTGCTGAAACTAAGCTGTTGTCTGGCAAAAAAAAGAAAAAAAAAAGTAACAAATAACACATTTTTTAATCGCACAATTGCAGTGGCTCACGTACTACGTTCACACTGCACTCAGCGTCAAGAAAAGCTATTTTGCGAACGACTCCTTGTGGGGGAACCACCAGAAAATGTAAGTATGGAAGTTATCAGAAGAGCTAAACCATTTCCAGTTTAGTCATGCTGGGACGGGAGAGTGGGGGGTGGGGGTGCTATAGTTTGAAGCGGTGCCAGCTGCTTCACTGGATAATCTGGAGGAAAATGGCAAAATGTCTCAGTGGCTGATTTGACATTCTGGCAAAAAAGCGCAGTTAAAAAAAAAAAAGAAGTTTGTCCTCGTGTTTCTAAATATGCAAGTATGTAAAGTGAGAATAAACAGGAAGGAATGATGTGAGATGTGCAATTATTACAAGTCAGACTGAAGCCTCAGGATTAAGAGTGCATGCATTGCAACACCAGATTTCTGTGTAATAATTCAAACGATTGCCCGACAGCAGAACACGCCGGCCAACCACTAAAGCCATTGTGGTCAGTCTGCTGCTGTGGCTGTTGTGTGGTTCCCATGACTGACACAGTTAACACACTGACACAGACTCTTTGGGAGTGCTGTTCTTACTTTCACCGTACAGACACATATATGTGCCTCTATATGTAGAGGAAGAGAGAGTCCGAGGCTGAGACCAAAGTGGCAGACAAGAAGCAGACCACAATGACAGACACTTTTTTGGTTTTTTTTCCATTTGTCTGGGCCTAAAGGGGTGACAGCCTGAAAGTTCGTATTATGACCTTGGGGTGGGGGCTGGGGGGGCTTTAAATTGACCTCAAATCTCTTAATTGGGATGTGAAGCAGGATATTGTGGTGCCCTGTATCACTTAACAGAAAGACGTGGCTTTAAAAGTTTTTCCATGTGAGGCCTTGACAGGAGAGCTTTAACGGTAATGTTTTTAAGGCCATTTGGTCTCTGAGCCACAGCATTAATAAGACCTCACAGTCAAGGAGGAAATACAGCCAAAGTTAGATTTTAATAAGAAATTATTTTTGATAAGGATCTTTAAATGAATGTGAGTACACTCTGAGTCAGTGACACACACACACACACCACACACACACGCACAAAACATAGGTGAAGTTAGTTGTGAAGTGGAGACTGAGATAAAAACAGAACAATCAGCAGATAACCTCAAATCAGCCAAACTATGATCTTAAAAACTCAAAATTAAGACTCCTTTTTGACAGTGTAAAATAGTCTAACTGCACATGTAATCCTTGAGCTAGTTCAATATGTGGGCTTAAATTGTAAGAAATTCATGTGCAAAGTTACAGAAAAAGTTCTGGCAGCTTTTTTATTTAATTTATAGAAAATGTTCTATTTTATTGATTTATTTTACTTTGGATAGAAAGTAATAAAAAAATAGAAAAATAAACCCCCGCATTTCTGCAGTAGATACTAAAAAAAACAGGAACTGTCATTTTGTCTGTTACTTCATTACTGTACTATGAATGACTGTCCTATCTTTATCAATAGGACAGTCTGTAAAATTTACAAAAATACATTTAAAAGCCTTCCTTCCCATTTTCCAAAGACATCCATCCAGTGGGCCGGATTGGAGTGTTTTCCAGGACAATTCTGGCTCCCGGACCTTATGTTTGACACCACTGTCTTAGGGTGATATAGATGCACTCAGTGAAGACAGATTGACTGAAACCCCTTTGGATCGACTCAGGGCTTGGAAGTTTTCTTTTTTTTAAGCATCTTAGATATCTAATTTATCTGGAAAGTGATGTAATGGCATTCATTAGACCCTCCATATGTTTTAGAGGGGTTTTTTTCCACTCTGCATAGCCCCATGGTTCCTGTTTGGCTTCAAAGGCTCTTCTACTCAGTAACTGCTCTCATATGTGCAGTGCTGCAACAAAGTCCAGCAGTCCCACTTGGTTGCCTCCACTATGCACAGAATGCAAATATTAGCATTAAGGGGCCTCCAGGAAAGACCAGCATACTTTGAATGGTCAGAACAGTTGCGTGCGTACGAGAATCTTACAATTATGTCCCGGCATTTCTCTACAGTATCTGTGTCAAGTATAAAACCCAAAGACAGACGCACGAAAGTGCGATTTTTGCAGTTAGTTGATTTCTTTACAACCAGTCCTGACACAGATGTTTTTGGGTAATCGATGTTAAACAGTCCAACATTTTTGTGTTAACAATTTCTCTGTAAGTATGATTAATGCACAACAGCATGTCAAAAAGGCTTTTACAGGCTTTGAGCCATAAAAAAAATGGACAACACAAATGAGATCACTTCCACAGAGGATATCTGTTCTACTGAGAAGTTCCACCAATTCTGATTTAAAGACAGTACGGTATTTGGATCGCAAGAAGAGAGATCCAAAATTTCTTAGCCTCAAAAGTAGGTCAGTAAAATAGTGATACATGAGAATGTGTTCCTGTAACCACTTCCACAGTTGCCACAGAGAACAGTTAATTTACTGGAAGCACTTCATCAGTATAAATCTAATAAAAGCTATACCACAGCCCTGCACTCTCTATAAAGGGATCCAATGGAAAACTACTAATCCACAGTACACCGTCTGCTAGCTAATGTCCTTAGAGGTGTGAAAGGAACTTACTTGTGGTCCAACTTTTCCAATATTTCCCATGTCCCCTTTCTCTCCCTGCAAGCAGTAAACATCAGAGAATGTGCTGGTTAGCTTCCTGTAGTTAAACAGATCACTGATTTGCTTCTCAAAGGATATTACAAGTACAAAAAAGATCACACACATAGACCATGGGACTACATCTTACTCTGGTTTGCCATCATGTATGATGATGTTTTTTTTGGAGAAAAACAAACTCCAGAATAAACTGCAGCTCTCTCATAATTAAGGGCATGTTTACAGCATTATAAGTCTAGGCAAGAAGCACCTCGCAAGGGGAGGAAAGCATGAGACCAATAAAATCTTAATGTACATAATACTAAATTTATTATACCACATTACAGCCAATAAAAAATAAAAGAGTAGGGAAAAAGTCTACAGTTGACTATATTACAATGTAACGCCATTTTTACAACACTGTTACGATTTTTCAGTGAGATGATGATGTCATGACTTCGCATAACTTGTAAGGCATATACAAATCTAAATTTGAAATTGCCACAAACATATGCACTTACGTATACGGTGATTAAGTGATGGGACCTCACCTGTAAACCCTCGGAGCCAGGTTCACCGATGTGGCCTTTCCTTCCAGGTCTCCCCTAAAGGTCGACAGACACATACACGTGAACGTAAGTATAAATGCTGATCGAATGATGGCAAAGCTTATTTTATTCCATCCAGTCGGAGGTGATTCATCTTTATGAACCACCTACAAAACGCTTAGCATGAGTAACGTGTGTGGCTGAGTGCAAATTCAGTGTATGAATTTGGGAGTTCTTACAGTAGGGCCTGGCCCGCCGGGTGGGCCGAGTGGTCCTTCGTCGCCCTGCAGAAACAAAGTTTGTTCAATCAAAAGTTTCCAAAGGCATGTTTCTGAAAAGCTGTAAATAAAAACATGTTACACTGATTTGAAAATTGTATAAAGTATTTATTTCTCTTCAAAAACAGATGTTAGAACTTATATTTTTATTATATTACATAATACCAGGAAGTTTAGCACACTGATGTATCACTTCTTCTTTTAACAAAATTTAGAAAGCATGTGCAAGGATAACAATTGGGGAAGTTTTTTCCATTCTTAGTGGTAAATGATTTCAGCTCCATGATGGTTCAGAGCTTCTTTTTATTAATTATTAACATTATTATTATCATGATTAATGACTAACAGTCATTAAGTGAGCCATCAAACCTTTAAAAAGTGGAAAACCCATATTAATGATCAAACGTCCCTGTGCAGGGATTTCCACTGTAGCATTGTGCCAGCAACTCTGGGGTCATCTTGTAGCACCGTGTTACTCCTACCCATGTTTTTTTGTTGCATGCAACATTTCCCCTCTGAGCATCCACTATCGCTAACAGATGAAGGCAATTCTGTCTGAATTGGTGATGTTGGCACATTCCCTTGTCTGCAGTACAGGAACTCCACAGGGGGCTGTGCTTACTCAATTCCTGTTTACTCTGTACACCTCAGACTTTCATCAAAACTCCTGGTCATACCACCTACAGAAAATCTGATGATTCTGCAGTTGTCTGATGTCAACAGGAGAACCACCGCTCACTAGATTTCTGTTTTTTTTTCTTACAAACCATAGTGTGTAAAATCCCAGCAGTTTCCAAAATACTTAGACCAGCTCATCTGGCCTTAAACCTCTCTTCTCCCTCATTCTGATGCTCAGTTTGAGCTTCAGTGTTTTTTTGTTTTTACTGTGCCTACATTTCTAAAAGCATTGTGTGGCATGCTAATTAGATATTTACTTCAATGAGAGGCTGAACAGGTGTACCTAATAAAGTGTCCATCTTAGTTTCTTACAAGGTCTTGCAAACTGCAAGTTTGAAAATGTTTAAATTTTACTCAAATAAAGAGACAAAATTAATATATCTTGTTATTTCTCAACATCATTGTTTTGGGTAACAACCTTTGTCTGCGTACTCTGCCGTGTGTGACAGAAGAATACATTAGCCAACTCTACATGGTTGTGCATGGAGGCCAGATCAATATTCCAACATTAAGCACAATAGAAAACTGTGTGTTGCTCTACACTTTCCAGTGGATTCTGTTTCTTTTTACAGGGCTGGAAAAAATTTCAGCCTTGTTTTCATAAGCACCTGTTGGTGAATCATGACTTCACCTGGTGGAACATGCCCTGAGAGATACGGCAGTGGAAAAAAAAAATCTGAGATCTGAGCTATACCTGTGAAATATGAATAGATGTTGAATGAGAGGGAGTGTGTTAATTCATCTTGCCTGATCAAATGGAAATTCCTCAGTGAGCTATAGTTTCCACTTCTCTTCTCTGAGTGAATCGAGAACCTGGAAAGATAAGTTAGGTGTCAAATTGTCTCACCTGTATTCCTTTAGGCCCCGGTGGACCCTGGGGTCCTCTCTCACCCTGCAAACCCTGAAACACAGGTGAATGTATGACTGGATGAAATTAATGAATGAGTGGATGGATCGAGAGAGTGGAAAAAGAGATGCCGTTGTACCTTTGGACCAGGTGGTCCGTTTGGACCCGGCGCTCCAATGTCCCCAGGAAACCCCTTGCAAATTCAGGAGAGAAAGAATATTGTTATAGAACATTATTATTAAGCCAAATGTTTTGATTCCTCTGCATTAACCTGTATAAGACAGAACTGTATAAAAATAATGATGGATTGCTGCTGAGCTAATGTTCTCCCTCAGGCAAGCCTGCCATGACACAATCACTCATCTCAAAAAATGTGCTTGCGAGCTGCGGCCTTTGTGACCTTTGATGACGTAGCACTCCTAGGCAGCTTGACTTTGACATTGTCGATGTGTTTCACATACTGTGCAGTATTAACAAACACTTGGTGAGATATTCTGCATAACACCTAAACACAGAGTGCTGGCAGACCATGACGGAGCAGGAAAAATTCAAGGACATATTAACATTGTGGAAATGTAATAGCTTTGACTTAGAAACGCTTGTGGCTAGCAAGATAATGTGCTACATTCAGTTCAGTGCTATGTTGTTCCTAGTGGGAGAGCTAGCATAGCATAGAGAAGATTTTCCAAGTATGTATTCAGGAGTTTTTAATTTAACCACAAACTGTAGTCAGATGAGTTGATGCCTGCAAAAAGCTCCAACAACAATCCCACGCTGTTGCTCTTTCTCTCTAGTAAAACGCTCGTTTTTAGGCTTTTAATGGAACTACTACTAATACATTTATCAAGAAAAACCCCAAAAACAACGGTTTAAGCAAAGCAAGTCGATTACTGACCTAAAAAATTAAAGAACGTAAAATAATTACTTGTCTCTTCCATGACAAAAAAAACAATTCAGTCTCTATTTGTCAGAGCATCTATAGCTAATTTTAATAATTCAAATCAACATCAAATTAAAATTTTTTAGCAATTACAGGGATTATGAATGACAAAGGTAATGTTTTCTGAGTATGAATAAATAAACTGAGCCCAAAAAAGGAACAAAAGGATGGCAAAACATCCACGAACATGCAAATACATGTACCTAATATGAGCGACTTTGCCCACACAGACACACTCAGCAGTATAAGACTCTGTGAAGTCATCAGTTTCTGTTTTAAGATTTATATTAAGCTGTTCATTATCTTCTAAATTGGTAGATAATTTGGTGTGAACGCAAACGGAATAACAACCATAACAATCAAATCTAAGGTGAGCCAGCATTTGCAGTACATGCACCGTGAATGAAAATACTTATTTTACAGCCACATGGGTTCAGCTTAAATCCTGCTACCTGCTACTTTATCCCCCTACGCTGTCTTTATCTTTGCATTATCATAAGTTTGACTTGGAGCAGACATAAAAGAAGCACTCTCTTGGCAACGTGTCCATTGCATTACACACTCTATTAGGAAAGTAGCTGTACCTCAATCCGTCTTTACTTTAGTCAGCATACTCCACTGAGCCAAAATACAGCAAAAAAGAAATGCTGTCAGATACTACAGTCAATATTTTAGGAAGACAAAAGCTGAAACATTTTACTCTGACCTTCTCATACTTTATACTCGACTGCTGAATACTGGCCTCAGTGAAGATCATGTTTTTAACAGTAGCTGCCTCTGACTCTCCTTTATTTCATGCAAGTGCAACAAATATTAATAATAATAATTTATTTGTACAATAATTTTCAAAACACAGAGTTACTAAGTGTTTCACAGTTTGAATAAAAGCTAACCATAAGTCATGTTCCAACATACAGATACATAAATGGGAAAATATGAATGGAAAGCTAACCTGTAAAAATAAGAAGTCAGTCACTCTGATATAAGCAAGAGCCAGTCAATGTAGAGCTTTATATGTTAATAATTTGATGTTAAGGTGGATTCTGAATTTCACTTGGACCCAGCAAACGGAAGCAATAATAGCTGTGATTGGTGAGCGTCAGCTAGCTTTTGTTAGCAGCCTTGCTGCTATGTTCTGCACCATCTGGAGAGGAGCTATGGAGGACTGAGAGATGCAAGTGACTGACAGTAATAGGTGGGAGAAAATTAAAGTGTATTTTAAAGGCTCCAGATAAAAGAAAAGTTTGATTTTTGCAACATTTCTTAAATGAAAGAAACATGACTGGATGAGTTTTGAGATGCAAGATACAAAACTCAGACATCGTTCAAAGATGATGCCAAGGTTCTCTGCAGATTTCTGACGTTGCTGACTGATCTCCTTAGAGAAACTGTCAAGGCCGAACACAAGAACGTGTTTTACCAGGATTGAGATGAACGAAATTTGAATACATCCACTTAAAAATGGCAGAGAAGCATTCACTGAGACGGGAGATGCTGTTAAGGTTTTAGGGCTTAACAGAAATGTACAACTGTGCCATCTGTATAGCAATGGTAAGAGATTCCTTTGAAACTATTAAGTAACATGTATAAAGAAAACAAAATTGGTCCAAGATTAAGTGCTGGGGGACTCCACATATGAGGAAATATATTTGTTACTATGCATTCGTAAGTATCCGTCAGAAAATTGTGATGAAAAAATGCACAACCATGTATGCCTTACCTCTGGTCCTGGAGGCCCAGGTGGTCCAGTCACACCCATTTCTCCAATTTTACCCTGACGAAAAGAGAAGAAAGACATGAACAATTTGCTCCTCTTGTGTTGTGCGGATATAATCC